TGTCAGAAACTATGGAGTCTGGAAGCCCGTGGGTCACGAACAGGCGGGTCAATACCTTGGTGACGGCTTGAGTGGTGGTGGTGGATAGTTGGGCCACATCAATCCACTTAGAGTATGAGTCCACCACCACCAAGAACATTCTGCCGTGAACTGGACCCGCTAAGTCAATGTGCAGTCTGGACCAGGGTGCGTTGGCGCTTTCCCACTTTGTGGGGGTGGTGATTGGAGGGGATGGTCTAGACTCCTGGCAGGGTTGACACGAGCTTACCCATTTGCTGATGTTGTCGTCGAGGCCAGGCCACCACACGTAGCTGCGTGCCAACGCCTTCATCCTGACGATGCCAGGGTGGCCCTCGTGTAGTGCTTCCAAGACTCGGGTGCGCAGTTGGGCCAGGATGACCACTCTGGTGCCCCACAGCAAACAGCCCTGCAAACTAGATAATTCTTGTTGGCGTATTTTAAAGGGTGTGAATTCGTTAGAAATACTCGTCCCGGCCACCCCCTCCTCACCCAGTCCAGTACCTGGGCAACCGTTTTGTCCTTTTTGGATTTGGTGGCAATGTCGAGGGCAGTGACAGGAAGGTCGTGCTGGGTGACCTCAAAGATAGCGTGGACTGGGGCCGGGTCTTCAGCTGGAGCAGGCAGGGGGCAGCGGCTGAGAGCGTCTGCGTGGCTTAAGGTTTTTCCTGGGCGGTGTATGAGTTTATATGAATAGGCTGCCAAGAATAGGGTCCACCTCGTCATTCTTGGGGACAACACTTGTGGGGTTTGTTTGTCGCCGGCCAGGAGACCCAGGAGAGGCTTATGATCCGTGACTAGTTCGAAAGAGTGGCCGAACAGGAATTCATGAAATTTCTTAACTGCTGCTACGGCAGCTAAAGCCTCCTTGTCTATCTGGCTATAGTTTCGCTCTGTTGACGAGAAGGTTCTAGAAAAGAAGGCGATTGGTGCCTCGGAGCCATTTGGTAGTCTGTGGCTTAAAACAGCTCCAATCCCGAAAGGGGATGCGTCAGCTGCCAACACTAGTGGAAGATGGGGGTCAAACTGAATAAGTACTGCGTTAGAAGTGAGTAACGATTTGACTGCCTGAAAAGCAGTGTCTTCCTTGTGACCCCAGTGCCAAGGAGAGTTTTTATCTAAGAGCCTGTGGAGAGGCTCAGCTACTGAAGCTTTATGGGGCAGGAATGATGCGTAAAAGTTCAATAACCCCAAGAAGGCTTGTAACTCTGCTTTGGTTGTTGGTGTGGGTGCTTCATGGATTGCCTTAACCTTGGACTCCAGCGGGTGAATACCTGAGGCGTCAATTTTATAGCCCAGAAAGTCCACCTGTCTAGTGGCAATGGCACATTTCTCCCTTTTTAATTTGAGCCCATGCTGTCTAAACCTATCTAACGCTGCTCGAACTCTCTGGAAAAGTTGGGGTCTGTCCCTGGCCGAGATTAAAATGTCGTCGAAGTAGGGTACTACACCAGGGAGACCCTGGAGTATGCGCTCCATGAGGGATTGGAAAATGCCCGGGGCAACGCTTACGCCAAATTGGAGACGCTTGCAGCGGAAGGCACCCCTGTGGGTGACGATGGTTTGCAGTTCGGCTGTTTGATTGTCAACAGGGAACTGCTGATACGCTTGAGACATGTCCAACTTGGCGAAAATGTTGCCGGGTTCAAAAGTGTGCAATAGATGTTGTATGACAGGGACTGGGTAAGCGCTAACTTGTAAAAATTTGTTGATTGTGGTTTTATAGTCCGAGCAAATTCTCAGACTGCCATCCTTCTTAAGGGGGGGGCCAATTGGCGTCTCCCACTTGGCGAAGTCTGTTGGTTCAATGACCCCTTGCTTCAATAACTTGTCTAGCTCCGCATCCAGTTTAGGCCGGATGGCGAATGGGACTCTGCGGGGTTTTAGTCTAATTGGAACTGCCTGGGGGTCTACTGTGAATGAGATGGGGGTACCGTTATAGCATCCCAGCTCATTGCTGAATACGTCTGAGTAGTCAGCGAATAAGGAGTCAGTGTCAGAGGTGGAGACAGCATGGACTCCTGTTAACCCTAGGCCGAGATGGGGAAACCAATCAAGCCCCAATAGAGAGGGGAGGTTGCCGCTAACTACCACTAGAGGCAGGTAACCTTTGAAAGCTTTAAAATTAACATGGAACTTGCCTTTGCCAAGTACCGGAATGTCCTTCCCCTGGTAGTCCCTCAAGGAGAGCTGGCACTTCTGGAGTTGGTTCCTGGATAGCTTGGGCTGTAGCTTCTTGAGGGTGTTCCACGAAATAATTGAGAGCGCTGACCCCGTGTCAACCTCCATAAGGCATGGTTTACCTTCTAATAGGACAGAGAGCGAGATTTTACTAATGGCATTGCAGGTATGTTTAGCAAAATGGCGAGTGCGACAGTTTAGTACTTGCCTTTGTGGACCCGATCGTGAAAAGGAGGAGGGGCCCCCATGCGTGGGACAGCGAGCAGCTTGGCAGACTCTGGCTATGTGCCCCTTTTTGAGGCAATTGTTGCAGGTGGCTCCCTTGAACTTGCAGGTGGCCCTCGGATGAGATCCGCCACAGGACAGGCACAGGGTGATGTGCTTAGGCGGATGGCTGCTTTCTTGCCTGGCTCCTACCTGTGGTTGTCTGGTCTGAGCAAGGCGGTGGATGTCAGCCTGGTCGCTGGACTCCTCTGTGTTGACCACTGTGGCTATTCCACCATTAAGCAGACATTGTCAAACACGGATACAGGGATGTTTGCACGTATCCAATGACCTTGTTTTAGCCAACTGAATAATGTTTCAATATCACGAAACACTGACTGTTGTTGCTTTTCTTCCCAGGACACCATAGCCTAGTATGATAAGCATATTTGCAAGCTTGCAAACTATCACATACTTTGTTCTTTGTTCTTTGTTTATGATCTTCTTCCATATAAGGTAAAACTCTGCTACCCCCTGTGTGCTCCCCCACCCGCTTGAAAGAGGTTAATAAATGAGGTTTGTACAGAGCACCCGAGGCCCCTCTTTTTCAGCTCCTTCTCCAGGTCCCCCTCCTTCTCCTCCTCCCCCTCCTCCTGCTGCGGCTGCTGCTGCCTGGGTCAATTCCATCTGCCCCGGGTGTGAAGTGCTGCCTCCTATGAAAACAATCGGATGTCTGGTGTCTGTTATTGGTATTCACCCTTGCGAGGGTCCCTCTAAACTTCTTCCCTGCGGGGAACTCCATAGGCAGCGAAAGAACGCAGACGGAGCAACGGACCGGTCGCTCGCTGCGACAGACCACCTCTTCTGAATGGATGGTGGCAGTGGGTTGTTTGTGCACGGGGCCTTGGATTTCCGTGGCTGATTGGGTAGCCAACTCTGATGCCAAGGCTTCCTCGACGGCTTGGGCGAGGTTGAGGTCCTTCTTGGCCAATAGGCGTCTTTGGAGATGGAGGTCTTTGACCCCGCATACGAGCTGGTCGAGGAGCATGTCATCAAGGTAGCTCCCGAACCCGCAATGGAGTGCTGCAGTCCTCAAGGCAGCCATGTATTGGTTGATAGACTCTTTTTCAGTCTGCTTCCTCATGCGGAAGGTGAACCTCCTGGCAATCTGTGAGGGTCTAGGAGAATAATGGTTAGTGAGGATTTCTAATAGTTCGGTCCAGGGGACGTTTCTTAACTCATGTGGAGCTACCAGGGCTGTGGCAGTGTCGAAGACGATGGCCCCGCAATAGCTCAGAAAAAATGATTTCTTCCGGTGCTCCCCTGCATCAGCCAGCCCTATGGCATCGATGTAATGATTAAAACGATTCTTATATGACTCCCACTTCTCCTCATCTGGTTTGAACGATGGGAAGGCTGGGTGGGAGTTCATGATGAAATCCTCGTTAGATGACCTGTTGAGAAAATCTCTCTGGGTAGTAGCAGGAAAGGTTTTTTGTGCCAGCAATAGGCTAGTGACTTCAGCTCTGGAGAGGTGTTTTTACAACTCTCAATTCTCTCTCTGGGACTGCTGGTGTTTTGGCTGCAACGGCCGTTGGCAGCGTTTTTTTGAATTTCGCGCCTGACTTCAGCTTACAGCACCGCGCTGTTACTAGACGGGAAATTCAACTGACAGCCGTTTGAATTTCGCGCCTTTTAGAATGAGCGGCTGCGGCTCGCAGCGCTACACTTCCTTCTGTAGCAGGCTAGCAAAACGGCTACAGGCGTTTCTCTCACTTTCATTAGTTCACTGACCGCTTTCTCTCTGGTTGCGGCTCAGTGTTCGCTGCAGGCTAGCAAAACGGCTACAGCGTTTTTCTCACTTTCCCTAGTTCGCTTTCGTTGCCGGCTGATCGCTTTCTCTCTCTAGCTGGGATCAGCGGCTAGTGACTCAGTGGTCGCGTTATGCCTCTGGAAAGGATCCCATCCTCGTCGCCAGTGTTATGTTCGGAGGAATGAGAGACTTAGCCAGGGCATTGCAAACAACAAATACTTTATTATAGAAATAAAGGGCTGATTGAGCTCGCCAGCCTAGAACGGGCTCGCAACAACCAGCGGCTAACCGAACCCCGCAGCCTGCTTATATAGCCGGCTGCTAGGGTGGTCAGCCAATGGGGAGGCAGTAACGCCCCCCACAACTTGAGCGGACCTGAGTGTGGACTGTGGAGAGTCCCAGGGACATAACAGTCTCCAGCTAGGAAAATAGAGCAAGTCTCTACAAGATTTCTTTTTAACACTTAAGCAAGATAATGATAGAAAATCTTTTGATTAGTTTTGGAATAATGACAGACATCAAATTGATTCCCATTAGAGGAGGAAACCTAGAAACCCAAACAATTATCTTCCATTATTATCCAGTTAATTTTTAAAACATAACAAAAACATTAAGAGCTGTTCTCCGATATTTTGTTTATAATATATGCGTTTGGTCTTATTAACAGATTGCTGAAAAAAATGAAATAATTGCTTTGCTGATGTCAGAAAAGGAAATGTTGCTGTCTCAAATTGGTGTAAAAGAGAGAATGGTTCATGAAGCAACTCAAGCACTGGCATCGAAAATGGATTTAGCAAATGATGAAGTAATAAGAGGAAATGCCGTAGCTTTTGAAAAACTCCAGCCATGTGATAAATTGGAGCAGAAATCCTTGGTTGTGGCTGAAGAAGACAAATCCATGAAGACACAAATAGATTCCTATTCCAATGGAAGTTTCAATGCATCCATCCGTTATGATACCCAAGAGGTAAGTGCCCATTTTATAATATAAGTCAATAAATACATTGTTGGATCTTGTGATGCTTTATCTTTGCCCATACCTGCTTATGTTAAATATATTATTGATCCTATATTATTACACAAAGGGTTGGATTATAAATATTGCAAGAACCAACAGGTCACTAACAGCTCTGCAAATAGAGCTAGACCTTGACTTACAATCACAATTGAGACCAAAATTTCTGTGGTTAAGTGAGGCATTTGTGAAGTGAGCTTTGCCCCATTTTACGACCTTTCTTGCCACAGTTGTTAAGTGAAACACTGCGGTTGATAACCCGGTTCAGTGAATCTGATTTCCCCATTGACTTTGCTTGTAGAAGGTCGCAAAAGGGGATCACGTGACCTTGAGACACAGCAACAGTCATAAATTTGAACTAGTTGCCAAGCATCTGAATTTTGCACTCCTGGTCTTGCTGTGAAAGTCATATCTGTGAAAAACGGTCATAAGTCACTTTTTTCAGTATCATTGTAACTTTGAACAGTCACTAAAAGAACTGTTGTAAGTTGAGGACTACCTGTACTGAAACTTATGGCACTTAGGTCTTAGCTGTAATCATTAAACTTACTTTGTCTTCGCCTTTAATATCTGGGATATTATTCCAGAAGGAGTTGTACTATTAAATTGCTCAGTGTGCTTACCATTTCAACCAGTGCAGAAATTTTTCCCTCTCTGTTGAATGACTAATCCTCACGACATTGTCTTATGTCTAAGGATTTTACCCATGCAGTAAGTCTGTATTACTATTATCCTTTTCATCTGTTGGTATCTTATGATTATATTACTTTGTTGTTTTTATGTACACTGAGAGTTTATGCACCAGAGATAAATTCCTTGTCTGTCCAATCACATTTGGCCAATATGTTCTGTTCTGCTCTTTAGATCAAACTTGATGCTACACAGGCTTTGATTTAGTTTTCCCTAACCGTGTATCTTCCATATTTTGACCCTGAAATATGGGGGTTCAAAACTGTTGTTATCTCTCAAAGGCACTAGCTAAAGATGGCTGCTTAGTAATTGTGTTATGTTTAATTTCTTAGATAATAAAATCAAAAGAAGAGATAAGCAGCCTTATTGAGGAAAAGAAACAATTGACTGCCGAACTGAGAGAGCAGGAGAAATGTGTCCAACAGCTACTGAAAGAGAAGGCCTTGCTTCAAAAAGAGAGAGATGACCTTCAGCAGGTTAGCAGAGAGGAAACGCAAAGCCAATTTCAGGAGACGTTATCTAAAAATACCGCAAAGGTACGGGATGCTTTCCGGTAAATGCAGTTTTCCGGTAAATGCTTTCCAGTAAATGCAGTTTCACGGATATATTGTTTCTTATTCTGTAAAACCATTGGTGTAGGTCTAGCTTTCAACCCAACATCACATTGTAATTTCCCGTAAATCTTAAATCTCCCTTAAATTAGGGGGAGTTGAATGCTTTATGTAAAGGTTGGGCACCCTTTAGGTAATCTTTAACATTTAGGATGGGCTGAGGATTGATGTTCAGATATCAGGTATTAACCTGGTAGTTAACTGGACTTTCTGGCACGAGAACATTCCTACATTATTAAATTTTACATTAAAAAGGTTAGAAAACAAGGCTGTTTCTTCAGCCTTTCTCCGGTTGTACAATCAGTGAGTGCTGTGGGGTATCATATGCATTTTGTTTAGAAATTATATATAAGTATAAAGTTTATAGTTTGTATTAAATTTATAGTTTGCCTAGCTCTGTTTCATCAATTGGAGAAAAATCAGACGTGCAATATTTGTGTTTAAATCCATTTGATTCAACAGTGTCAATTTAAAATAAATTAAATTAGTCCTAGATCCTGGTTTATATTTAAGATTCACTTTGTTGATAGATACAGAAAATAGTTACTGAGTCAACAAATGTAATCAATATTTACTAAGGGAATAAATAACAATGGAAACAGCATCAACTATGACAAAGCAAACCCAACCTGTTTCCTATTTCAATCTCTGTTTAAAGTTGTTCTTTAAGCACATTTTTTAATGTGGAAGTAAAGTCTGTTTAATCAGCATCCCTATTTTAGGCAGCCAAAAATAAGAAATTGAGCATTATCTTTTCACATGAGTCTTTCTGTCCTACTTATTTTTCCTACCAAAGATTAATGCATGTAATAAAAACTTGCAGATAAATCTGGGATCCCTGTGACCTTGCAAAACTTTTAAATATTGTCTATTGTCTAACTATTGTCCAACTAGTAATCAAACTGGGTATGACTAAGATCTTTTTTCATTCATATTTTTCTTAGTTTATCAAAATATAAAATGCAGAAATACAAAGAAAAATGAAAATAATGGGAAAATGGGGGAGGGAAAAAAGGAAGAGGGAAGATGTGTAGGATTAAAGGGGAGATAAAAATAGAAAAGTATTGACTTCCAATTACTTTTGGCACAGTAAATTAACGTGCAACTTCAACTTTTTACTTTTACATAATAATATATATTAGCCAGGAGGGGCGATGGCTCAGCAGTTAAAGACTCTGAGCTTGTCAGTTGGAAAACTGATAGCCCAGGTTTGAGACCTAGTGCCATGCAACAGGGTGAGCTGCTGTTATTGCCCCCTGTAAGTGACTACCTAGCAGTTCTAAAGCATGCAAATGCAAGTAGATAAATAGGTACCACTTTGATGGGAAAGTAATGCATTCTGTGTACTTCAGCATATGATCATGCTGATCACATGGCCACAGAAGTGTCTTCATACAATGTTGGCTTCCTCAGCTAAGAAACAAAGATGAGCACCGCCCTCTAGAATCAGACCTGATTGGAGAAGGGAAGCCTTGAGCTTTATATACCGTACTAGCCATTTCTATAACAACAAACCTATCTAATCAGCAAAACCCAAAATCGAAGTTTCATATATTTTTTTCCATTTCAAGCACAAAAATCCAAAAGTGGCTTCCAAATAGAAACAAAATTAAGTGTATTCATTTATTTAATCAAAGCAGTCAATTTAGCCATCCCTGCTAATACCATTCATTTTTTGCAACCATTTGTCCGTTGCAGGAATCAAAAATGTCTTTCCATTTTTAGAGTTCTATTAAGTATCCTATTTAGTTTGACATAATCTGCTCATATTGAGATAATAAGTCACCACTGAATATATATTCTCCTTTCCAGGATTCTGAAATGAATGTCAAACGAAAGACGCAAGACTGCTTTGAAATCTTGGAGACAAAAATATTCCGAATAATGGTAAATGCTATCATCATTTATTTCCCCTTGATTGAATCTGCATTAAGTGGAGTTCTAACTTCTACCTTTTATCCTTCTTCTGCCTATTCTCACAACAACGACTGAACTCCATTTCCAGTTATACCCAATCTATCTATAACTTGTATCTTATACCAGAAAACAGAGAAACATCCTTTTGCAGTCCAGGAGGTCTTGATATAGAAAAATGAATTGTAAATCTAGTGGTTTCCTCAGAATAATTGCTACTCCAAGAACTCTTCTCTTGTGCTGCTGGTATCAGGGGTGTCTTCAGATTATGGTAAAAAAAACAACCAACCACCTCACAGTGGCACTGGTAACAGTGTGATTGAAACTCCATTTCTTTTTTGGAATATTGTACTTAAAAGATGGACAGTGTTGATCATGCAATTGTGGCTGCCATTTTGAGATTGTCATTTTTTAAAATCGCACTCTGCAGATATCTTGCACAGCTACTTTTCCTCAGCTGTCTATGAATATATAATGTATATTCTGCTAAGGGGGAGGATTAGAGCAAGGGGAGGTCTAATGTTCAACAATGGGTACAGTAGCTTGTTCACATGAATGCAATTCAAAAAATGCACTTTGGTTGATCAAGACATGTTTCTTAATAGCACGAGATTGTGATCTTTTTGACTATGAAATTTTATTTTATTCCTGCTGTGGAATAAAATAAAATTTCATAGTCAAAAAGATCACAATCTATGCCTTTAGTGGTTGTGAGAAAAACCACTGATTTTAAAAGATGAAAACCTTTGTTAATTTCAGCCTGTTTCCTTTTTATTTCAGGAGGCTCTGAAGAAATTTTCAGAGCTGGAAAAATCTGAATATTTCATAAAAATCTCTCTTCAGATCAGGAATCAGTTTGATAGCAAGAAAGCTCTAATAGCCCAGTGGCTTCCTCACATTTCTCCCCAGGAAGCCAATAACATCAAAAGGCTTCAAACAGAAGATGAGTGTATAAGTAACAGCCTCTACAGCTTGTTGAACACAGTTCAGGTACTAGCTTTAAACAATGTTTTGTATCACATGCTAAACCAGGGGTCCCAAACTTGGTAACTTCTTGGTAGAATTCTGGGAGTTGAAGTCCACAAGTCTTAAAGTTGCCAAGTTTGGAGACCTCTGTGCTAAACTACTGAGTGCTTTGTTTAGTTTTAGTTTTGTATGTACAGGTGGGCCATGACTTACACTTGTAATGAAGTCTGCCCATTCAGGTCATAAGTTGTGACCTCCATAGAACAGCTGATCACACAAGTGACCTAATTTTACAACATTTTAGGCAGTTTGCCATTAAGTGAACCTGTAGTCATTAACCTGTAGTCATTGTTCATTAATGACCACAAATTGGGAAAACTAGCATTAATTTCCAGGTTTGGACAAAACCCAGAAGTTAATGCTAGTTTTCAGCATAAAATGTGATAAACCCAGTCATGTGACCACACAACACAGGAAACGACTGCGGGGTAGCCACGGCTGTGAGAACTTCACAACAAGGTTGTAAGTACCATTGGGTTTTGTCTGTGGTAACTTTGGTCACTAAGCGACCGGTGATTAGTCGAGGACTACCTGTATCTAAATCTGGGTTTAAACTATGATTCATGGCTTAGTGGACCTTGCAAACTCAGTTATGGCTTGATCAATAAATTAAGTTAAATAAATTGCTAGATTAAAGTCACATGTGAATCTGTTAGTTTCTATTAGTTCTTTTGTACACTTTACATTACAGGTAATCCTCAACTTGCAACCACAATTATGCCCAACATTTCTGTCGCTAAGCAAGACAGTTGTTAAATGAGTTTTGTCCCATATTACCACATTTCCTGCCATAGTCAGTGAATCACCACAGTTGTTAAGTTAGTATCACAGTTGTTAAGTGAATCTGGCTTCTCCATTGATTTTGCTTGTCAGAAGGCCGTAAAAGGTAATTACATGACCCCGGGACTGTGTAACCATCATAAATATGAGCTAGTTACCAAGGATCTTAATTTTGATCACAAGACCATGGGGATGCTGCAGTGGCCATATATATATTAACAACTTTTAACAGTCACTAAATGTAAATATGTTCAGGTTTTAAGGAAGATCTCTCTTGTATCAGAGCAGAGGTCTATCTAGCTCAACCTTCCCAGAATTCCCTAGCCAGCAACCCTTTGTTGAGAATTTGAGACAATGTCTATATATCCAAAGGGCACCCAGGTTGGGAAAGTTGATCCAGTTCACAATTCTGTTGTTTGTAGTCTAAGTGGTATCTTAGGAACAGCCAGTTCTGCACCTCAGGAACAAAACACCACAAACTCTGTTCAACGATGGGCAACGCATGATTCAATAAGTGGGAAAAAAACAGGCTGTTGCAGTTTTTAATAGGGGTGGTAGCCCACATTAAAGAAGACAGGTTTTGTGGCGCCTATGAAAGCTGAACAAACGTATTGTAAAGTTTAAGTTTAGTTACGGAGTAAAGCTAAAATGGTGTGCAGCTTATCCCAAGATAAATTTACTAAACTCAACTAGTTTTTGAGCTCTTGTGTTCGGTTAGTAATAGCAATAGCACTTAAACTTGTATGCTACTTCATAGTTCTTTTCAGCCCCTCTCTAAGCAGTTTACAGAATCAGCATATTGCCTCCAACAATCTGGGTCCTCATTTTACCCCCCTGGGAAGGATGGAAGGCTGAGTCAACCTTGATCCGGTCAGGAGTTCCAGGATCGAATTCCTGCCTATGGGCAGAGTCAGCCTGTAATACTGCAGTTTAACCACTGTACCACCACAGCTGTTAATTAACTTCTTCATCTCCAACAGTACTTGTTTAGCAGCTTGTGCAAAAAAAGAAAGGAATACTACACAAACGTCAGCGAGTACACAAGGGAGCTGCTTGATGAGCGAAAAAAACAACATGCACAGAGAATGCAAATTGAGGAACTCAGAAAGGCTCACTTGAAACAGCAGGGAGCTGGATCACAGCAGCCTGGTCTCTCTGAACTGATGCACAGCTTGGATGGTCTCATGGAGGTAATGGTTTTCCAAAGATTGCCTGCTTGGGACTGGAGTTGGGGAAAGCAACATTGCCAGGACATTGCTACGTCTCCAAGCACCATTTCCAAACCCCCTTCCTCAACTAAACTACAGTTCAAAAGAATGAAATGGCCAAAATAACATGCATTTGGAAAATTTCACACACTCCCACAACATTTGGATATGGAAGCATCTTGACCATTGCATAACAGAACCTGAAATATTTGTCATCCTGTGTTGTGGGCTGTGATAACGATTTCCATCATTTGCTGATTTTTTAAAAAAAAAACCATTTAATTAGAAAATGTACATTTGTTGGTTATACAACAATAAAAGCTGCAGCTCCCTGGCAACATCAATCAGTTAAAGAAACCCCTTGGTGACATCTATCCCACTCCAGATTCCCCAGGCCCATTGGCAAAGCCAAGGTCTTCAGAGCCTTGTGAAACAGTGTCAAAATGGGGGCTAGTCTAATCTCTGCTGAGATGATGAGTTAATAGCAAAAGCAATAGCACTTAGACTTATATACCACTTTATAATGCTTTACAGCCCTCTCTCAGTAGTTTACAGAGTCAGCATATTTCCCCCAACAATTTGGCTCCTCATTTTATACCGACCTCGGAAGGATAGAAGGCTGAGTCAACCTTGAGCCTGGTGTGATTCAAACTGCCAAATTGCAGGCAGCAGAAGTAGCCTGCAGTACTGAACTCTAACTAATGCGCCACCACGGCTCCGAGTTAAGGTCAGTCTTTAGAGCCATTTCCTGGAGACTTGTGTTCCAGAAGTCAATAGGCTACTAAGGCTGATGCCGCAAAGGTTCTGCCTCTGATCCACAATGATATTGTACAATGCCATTGAAAAGCCAAGGTCTTTCAGAAGTCAGTGAAGGACTAGAGAGCCACTGGCTTTTTTTTTTTCTGTTACCTTTCGCATCTGGATTCAAAAGGAAAAATACCTATGCTTCATGGAAGACAGGTTATTAACAAGTTAAAACTTGTTACCTTGATGTCTATGGAGATTCTTAGTCCTCCAGGTCATGGTTGTCCCATGGGTGCTTTTTCAAGAGCTGAAGAAGTTCTTGCAAAACATATTCAAAGAAAAACCAGAAAGTCCAATTGCCTCTTGAAATAAAGCACCTTTGGGTTTTTATCTGGATGTAATAATAGATGCTGTCAAGACTGCTTTTCTTTCCAAGAGAGCTCAGGGCAGTTTCTGAGAGAAGAATTAAAAAATAATGTAAATGAAACCATCATATAAAAACATTCTGTTTGACAAAAATATTTACATAATTCGGGGGGGGGCTACTTTGTCAAGTATATTCAAGATGGCACAGAAGAAGGGATACTAAACCAGAGTTAAGCATTTTTCCTAAAGGCTGTAATTTAAGGTACAGCATTTTTCAAAATCAGCCCTTGGCATGTCCAATTAAAACTTGCAAGAAGAAAATAATCTATCTATTGGTATTTCATTCCCACTATGATGGCTCTGTGGACAGGTGGGAAGATAAATCAGCTGAAACGTTTATTTTCAGTGTGGTTAACTGAGCTAGAAGGGTTAATACTGTATCTGTGTTAAAAGGTTTCTGCATAAATTCTCTTCCCACTTACCATGCTGCAAAAAATAAGACATGATACATGTCTTGACAAACCAGATCATTTTTATGTATTTCTTGGCGCAGCAAATGTCTAAAGAAGTTTCTGAAATGGAAGAAGGACTCGGTAGCACAGAGGTTACGTTACAAGAGTTGGAACATAAGAACATTGAGGTGGAGCAGTATTTGGAACGGTGCTATGTTGATTTGCAAGGCTTTAAGGCAACAATAAAGCAAAATATTGAAAAGTTTCAATCCATTTATCAATTTCTATGGCCCAAAGTTCAGGTACGAAGTGCAGATTTAAAAGGTGTAGCACAATATTATTGTTTTTGCCTTGTTAAGGGTGCGCTTGGAGAAAATGCTGTACATGTAGTTGCGTGTTTCTTATAGTTTAATAATCCAAAGCAACTTGGATTATTGGTCATGTTGATCTAGTTTGCAGAAACTGTGTTCTGGTGTAATTGGATGACTCTATGTAAGAGATAGCAATGTAACATACCTCCCTTAAGATCTAGCGCTGCCTTTATATTACAGCCCTATTTTCAAGCTAGATCTGCGCTGGAAGCCATAAATGCCAACTACTGCAGAGAGATTGATGCTACTCTGAAAGCATGTAGAGAAGAAACAAAGGAACTGATTCTACAGTTAGATATGTTAGAAAAAGATCAAAAATCCTGTGATGTTGCTAATATGTCACGAGAAGAAGAAAACCATAAGCTAAGATATAAACTGGAAGTAACTGAACAAGATACAAAGGTGTGTTTTTGTTAAACTCCTGTTTGACACCTCAGCCTGATGTCTCTTCATTTGTCTAATCTGATTAATGCTTAGTTCTTTTCTATGCAGCTTTTCCTGGTATGCCATTTATTAAATTTCTATTTAGTCTCTGCTTTCCCAAATATATGATGTTCCCAAATCCATTCTAGTTCTTAAATAGGTTTCCGGAGAGAATAAGTTTTACCCAACTTTTTTAGTTGAAAAGAACAGATGATAGAAAAATTAGTTCATGAATGAGGCAGACTTTGACAAATCATGACATTTTGATTTAAAATAAATCTATAGGATGATGCTTATAAATCTGTGGTTGCAGGAAACATGATATTGGATAATCTCTGCCATATAAAAATAAAGAGTGTTTTCCCAATAGATGCATGAAATGGCACTGGGTTACCTTTTATAAATGAGGAAGTACACTGTTGGGAATTAGTTTTGCTTATATTCGTCTTCCTTTGATGCTGCATCTCTTACTATTGTTTTTCTGATCGTTTTCACTGTTTTCAGGCCACACTTTTTTTATAAAGAGTCCAGCATTCAAAATATTGGAATAATTGTGATCTTCAGAGCTTCAGATCCAATTAACTCTACATGTATCGGAGTTATTACCAATAACAGCTAAACATTTTTCCCACCTTTGAAAATAAAATCTGGAAGTGGTGTTTCATTTTCTAATAACACACTTTCTTTTTCAAAGAATCTGCAATTGAAAATCCAAGAACTAGAAAGCATAATAAATGAAGGAAGTAAGAATCTCCAGGAAAAAGAGAAAACAATAGCCATACTAGAAATGAAACTTAATGTGAGAGCTTCCAGGAGTGAAGTCATCAAGCTTCAAGCTGCATTAGAGGAAAAAGAAAATTGCTTAAGAAATGCATTAAGTGAGAGAGAAGCACTCTGGGTATTGTATTAACATAAGTGACTTCTCATGTTGGGAGTAAAATATTTATTCATGGGATTCACACAAATGTCTTAGATCTTCACATTTTCTCTGCAATTCCTATATAAAACTTGCAGCAATGTTCTGGGCTGCTGGACACTGGAAGGCAAGTTTATACAAAGGAATTATCAGCTCACAATGCTATGCTTCCTCCCAGCCTTGCTTGTGGCTAAACATACTCCTCAAAGAAAATGAAAGTGCTCTACAACTTTGACCCATTCTCTGGTGTTCTCTAGTATTTTTAATGCAATTCAGTTATTTGTGGAATGAAACCATGGAAGGACAATTTCCTGCAGATCAGATATGGCACCAACTGTGATTTGACAGGGTGCTAACTCTGATCTCTTGCTGGATCCAAACCTCCATCTGAAAAGGGTCCTGACATTATTACTTTGATATGAAGAGGTATGTAGCTCATTTTTACTAAAAGTCTATTATCTAATAGGTAAATATGATTTCATTTTCTAAAGTGCTTATTGTGCACTTGGAAATATACAACTGTTGTTGTCTTCTCAAGAGATCATGTTTTTCTTTTTCTTACTAGGCTCAGGTGGATAAAGGTGCTGGATTATATAAGGAGGAAATTGAAGGCCTGAGAACTCAGCTTGTTAAAGCTGATATGGCAAGAATGAAACAATCCAAATTGTTTGATCGAGAAGGCAATTCTATAGAGCACAGATTCTGTCCTCATTTGGATATTTATCATCTGGACACTTGGTAAATTTTTCCGTATCTGAGAAAGCAAAAAAGCAATATTTCTTTAATATTTTGTCCTTTTATCTTACAAGAAATGCCTTCTTTGGATAACAGCTGATACCTTGGGCATAAGAAGGATATATTTTTTTTTTAGAAAAATGTAGTTAGTTATATAAAGTTGAGGGAAGTGCTAGGATGGTAATTATTTCCAGTATAATGTGTAGAATCTTCATAGGAACCTATGTTATTAGAAGTTAACAATGAATCATATAATCTTTTTATGTAAACATCCTGAGTCCTACCACCTGTCAGTTAATATACTGGACTTTTTTTTTAGCATTTATTTGATTTGTCAATCGCTTACAAGATACAGGTATAAGAATAAATATACTGTAGTTTTGAATACATGAGATAGATACTTATAAGAAAAATAAAAAACAATAGGACAGGGATGGTAGGCATGATAGTGCGCTTATGCATGCCCTTACAGGCCTCTTATGAAGGGAATAAGGTCAATAGTAGTCAGTCTAAGGTTAAAGTTTTTGGGGTTTGGGGAAGAAACCACAGAGTCAGGTAGAGTATTCCTAACATTGACCACTCTGTTGCTGAAATTGTATTTTCTGCAGTCAAGTTTGGTGCGGTTAACCTTGAGTTTGTATCTATTGTGTGCTCTTGTATTGTTTTTTTTTAAACAAATTTTATTAATTTTTACAAAACAATACACAAACAAAGCATAGAATGTAATAACATAAGAGATCTTTTCTGAAGAGATCAATAAAAGATCTTATTTATAGACAGAATAATTCCAAATTATCAAATTTCCATACAAGCACAATTTAATATATATATTTACCTTATCTATTCAGCTTCATATCTTATTCCAGCTTCTCTTTGTTTCTACATTTCCTTCTATTATTGAAATTATATTTCTTTTACTTTAGATTGTATACATTCTTTATATCCCTCTGTCTTATTTACAATTTCATTATTCTCTTCCAACATTCTTCTTACATTCTTCTAAGATTTTATTAATTCAAACATGGACATACAAAACACAAAACATAAATACCTAAAACTTCTTTTTGGAAAGAGGCTTACCCCGGGTTACCTCTTTTTATACAGACATAAATCAAGTTCTTACTCAATATACTACCTCATATCTTAATTAACATTCTGTATTTTCTATATATTTTCTCTCCTCTATTCACTCTCATAATTCTATTATATTTATTTCATCTCATTTTAAATAATTATACTTGTATCTTTTGTCTGTTTTCTTCAATTATCTATTTATCTTTTATTTCCAATACAATATTTCTCCTGTAATCACTGGTTGAAGCATGACAACTTTTATCTTTCCCCTAGATTTGATACTTGAAATAATACATACTTTCCATACTGATGGAAATGTAGAGGTATGCTCGGGTTTCAGCAAACTAACGTGGAAAACCGGATGAATTCGACGGAGAGTTTTTGGCAATGTCAATTGAACTGTCTCAGGATTCACAATTTGCTCAATTGGGAAAGGACCCACATACTTAGGCCCCACTTTCTTTGACTTCTGGGTGGTCTGTAAATATTTGGTGGAGAGAAAATCTTTGTCGCCTACTTGATAAGACTTCTGTGGAGCTCTCTTTCTGTCGGAAAATTTCTTATGAGACTGGTGTGCATTGTCCAATGCTTTACGAGTAACCGGCCAATTGAGTTGAAGTTGAGATATCCACTCGTCCAACGACTGGACATTGGGTCTTTCATGAGGAAGCTCAGGTATGGGCACAAAATCTTGCCCCATGGCCACTTTGAACGGGGTAAAACCAGCTGCTGTGGACAGAATTGTTGTATGCCACCTCCGCAAAAGACAGCAGATCCGCCCAGTTGTCCTGTTGATAGTTTATGTAACACCTGAGGTATTGCTCTAACACTGCATTAGTCCTCTCACAGGTCCCATTAGTTTGAGGATGGTGGGCGGAGCTTAAGCCCTGGGTGGAGCCTATTAATTTCAAAAATTCCCTCCAAAAGTTCGAGGTGAATTGGACCCCTCGATCCGAAACTATACGCCCAGGGACACCATGCAGCCTATATATACGTATGATGAAAAGTTTAGCCAACGATTTTGCTGAGGGAATCTTGGAGCAAGATATGAAATGTTCCTGTTTGGAGAACAAATCGGTTACCACCCAGATAACCATGTGCCCAGTACTCTCGGGTAAGTCTACTATAAAATCCATGGAGATTTCCTTCCAAGGAGCAGTCGTCCTGGCTACATTCTGTGATAGACCTGGTGGCTTACCAGGAGGCCTCTTGGCTGAGGCGCAAACTGGACAACCAGCTACATAAGTCTCAATGTCTTTTTTCAATGAGGGCCACCAGAACTGCCACTTAACCAGGTGTAAGGTCTTCACGAAACCAAAGTGACCAGCCGCCTTGGAATCATGGGTCTGTTGTAGCACTTGGCTTCTCAATGTCTCTGGTACATACAAATTTGCTCCTTCCAAAAAGTGCCTCCAAGTTAGTAGAGCCCAATGAACTGCAAAAGCTTCCTTTTCCCAGACAGCCCATCTCCTCTCAGTTTCGGTCAGCTTATGGGAGGTGTAGGTGCAAGGTTGTAGTGTCCCTTTCTCACTTAGTTAAAGTAAGACCGCCCCAATACATACTTTCCATACTGATTCTGCTTAGCACAAAGTATAATAATAAAACAAAAATAAAAAAGGGCTTGAGTTTATAGTATGAGCAGAACAGCATTCCACAGAAAATTAGTCTCTATTATTTACTCTTAAACATTTTATATATTTCCTTTGATACATTATTAACTCATATAATATTTCAATTTTCTAACTCAATTTCAAATACTAATATCTGCAATACAATCTTATATATTTTTGCAGAATCATATATTTTTTAATTTAAATTTTACCCTTTGTCTCTGAAAAAAGCCTTTTTTTTTTTCATCTTGTTTTAAACCTTTATGGCTTCTCTTTCCTTTTTCCCTTCCTTTCTTATCAATTCTGATCTTTTTGATCTTTTTGCCCCCCCATCTCTCAAATTCCACTTTTTGAATCTTCCCTCTCTGTTATGTTTCTCTTTTCTGTTGCTTTCTGGCATTGTATCGATTTTTCATCTCATTTTTCCCTTTCTTGGTTGCTTTTTTAAGTTCTAAATTCTCCCTTTTCTTTCCCCCCTTGTTCTTTTGGGCTATGATGTTTTGTCCATTAAAGATGGCTTCTCCTTCTTCATCCTGGTCCTCTTGTTCTTGTATTTCTTGGTATGTAAAAATCGCCATTTCCAAAAAATGAAAGATAGATCCAAGAGAGCCCTTACCTTCTTGTTTCTCTTGTTGTAGCTTTTGAAATTCCATTTGTAATTCTTGCACAGATAATGCCATTTTTATTATTATTATTATT